TCCTGCTCGCTCAGTTCCTTACCTCTAGTTTCTCACCTCCGACTTGGATAATAATAATGCCAGGGTGGCCGTGAGATTAACAAGGTTCATAGCATACAGTTTTGGGTAATTAGAAGGTATTCACAAATGATGACTTTATTATGATGACTTTATTATTATTATAATCTTATAATAGGCCAGTCTGGACACAGTGTCTTAGTCTTGTTTCAGCATTCTAAATCTCAGGCTTTAAAAGAAGGTTCTCGCCAAGCCACATAGTCCAAGCATGTCTAAAGCGCCCTCTATAGACAGAAATATGACATGAGGCTGAGAAAGATCAACAGGAGCTCAGCCAGGAGGGAGGTGACTGCGTTCCTCTAAGCTCACCAACTGTGGGCCAATGACATAGGGACTTTGTGCGTTCTGTCCCCATGCATATAATGGACTAACACGAGTGCTTTATCATAGGCTGTTGTGCAGATGAAGTAAGATAATGAGTTAAAGCCCTTAGCTTGGTGCTTGGCCCACACAAACACTCACTAAATGGAAGCTGTTCAGACATATTCTGTTCACAAGATTGTTGTAAGGAGATGAAAAGAATGATCATAGAGTCTGAAATATATAATCTTCCTTGGTGTTTTTGTTGTTGTTGTTGTTGGTTGTGGGGCTTGAATTCAGGGCTTGGGTGCTGTCCATGAGCTCTTTCACTCAGGGCTAGCACTCTATCACTTTGAGCCACAGCACCACTTCTGGTATTCTGGTGGTTAATTGAAGACAAGAGTCTCACAGACTTTCCTTCCTAGGCTAGCTTCAAACAGCGATCCTCAGATCTCAGCCTCCTAAGTAGCTAGGATTACAGGCGTGAACCCCCAGCTCCCAGCTATCTTCTTTGTTTTATCAGGGTTATGTGTTTGAGTGTACATACCAACAGATTTGCATGCTGTTATGAAGCACTCGGAGGCGTTTAGATTATATTCATTGTAGATATATGAATATTTGTGTGTACATACATCTGTTTATTAACCCAATAGGAACTCCTTCATCTCCCCAATGTTTTTTTAGAGTATCCTTAGTTATTGCTGTGAAGGAAAGATAAGTATGTGATTATTAAAGAAATGAATGTTATCAACTGAGACCAGATGTATTGTCCAAAAACAGGAATGTATAATGATGCACATGAAATGCAAATAAAAAAGAAAATGTCAGAAAGGGAAAACACAAGAGCTACTATGACTAAAAAATATTAAAACTGACAAGATCTTGTATGTTCATAAAATTAATACTAACAGCCCACTCAAATAGTATTTCAAGTAGAGAAAGTTAACTCTTTTTTTTTAGGGGTACCTCGTTTCTGGGTTTCAAATCAGGCTTCATGCTCCCTCAGTTTGCTTGATTGGTTGATACATTGTCACTTAATCTGCACCTTCAGCCTTGTCTTTTGCTGATTATTTTGGAGATGGAGCCATGTAGGCTCTTCTGCCCAGGCTAACCTCAAACTAGGATCTTCCAGATCTTAGCCTTCTGAGTAGCTAGGGTTACAGGTGTGAGACACTGGTGCCTGGCTGGAGTTAACTTTTAAAGGATAGAGAGTAACAATTACAACACTCTAATAAGGTTACAGATCAGGGCTCTTCCAGACTACATTCCAGCTGGACTAAAGTTCACCACTCAGATCTTCTGTCAGGCTGTCCACGTGAACAGGGAGTTGACCAAGGAGCTGACTTAATTTCTGTAAGAAATTATACCAGGGTTTCAAGATCTTCATGTTAAGTTTGAAACCACAAGTTTTTTTTGTTTTTTATTTTTTGTTTTGGGTCCGGTTGTGGGCCTGAACTCTGAGCCTGGGCGCTGTCCCTCAGCTCTTCAGCTCAAGGCTAGTGCTCTACCACTTGAGCCACAGCGCCACTTCCGGCTTTTTTCTTTTTGCTTATGTGGTGCTGAGGAATTGAACCCAGGGCCTCATGCATGCAAGGCAAGTGCTCTACCACTGAACCACCTTCCCAGCCCGTAACCACAAGTTTTATATGCAATAATTTATACAAATAAACATATGCTAGCTGGGTGCCCGTGATTCACACCTGTAATCTTAGCTACTCAGGTGGCTGAGATCTGAGGATCACAGTTGGAAATTACTCCATGCAGAAAAATCTATGACGTTTCTATCTAAAAGCCCTATCTCCAAAAAGTCCAAAGCAGAGCTGTGACTCTACTTTCTTTTGCCAGCCTTGAGCAGAAAAAGCCTAGGGACAATGCCCAGGCCCTGAGTTCAAGCCCCAGTATCAATGTGTGCGTTGATATTGTGTGAGTCAATACTGTGCAAGACAAAGTCCACTTTATAGGGTGAATATAATCCATTAGCCTCCATGTACAATCTATATAGAGACTCACCAGGGCCACTGATGACTGGAGTAGGTTGGGTTGGACTGGGCAGCCCCAATACCTTATTTCTCCTTCCCTGCCTCCTCTCTGGTACCTACCTCAATTCTATCATCATCCAATAGATGGCACTGTAAACATAGTGTCTGCCCTGGTGAAACAGATCTAGTTCCCAAGGTGCCCCTAGTTCCAGCCCAACCAGGCAACCTCACTGCCACAGGCCACTCTGGGGACTTTGTGGCTTTTTCCTTTTCTCTTTTTATTAAATCAAAAAGACCCCTTTATGTCTGGTTCATTCTGTCTTCTAGGCAAGTGTTGACTAATGAAAATATAACGATAACCTCATTTTTAATGTCCAGTTTTGCTTAAAAAGGACAAGGAAAAAGGAAGCATGAAATTAATTTTATTAGCATTTTATTTAGCCCAACATATCTAAATACCATCGTGTTAACATGATATCAAGGTAAAATTGAGTGAGATCTTTCACTTACTTTTCTTTCGAATCTTCTAAATCCTGTGTGTATTTCTCCCCCATCTTCTAAATCCTGTGTGTATTTCTCCCCCACAGCATGTCTTCATTAGGACTAGTCTCATTTCAAGTGTTCAGTAGTTACGTATGGCTGGAGGTTACTGAATTGGGCTCTTGCAGAGGACAGCGCCTGGCAGTGCCAAGAACCCGCCCCACCTCCACCCCCCTTGGAAAGCACCTTCCTATTTTCAAGGCATCAACATGTTTCTGGAAACTTGAAATCAGAGGCACTCAGCAAATATAGTCTAATTCTCAAAACTGAAATTTGGGCCTAAGTTACCAACCTTTTCAAAATCTATTAGCTGCCAAGTGTTTTGTTTTCTTTTCCCTGTGGGGCTTGAACTCAGGGCCTGGGTGCTGTCCCTGAGCTTTTTGCACTCAAGGTGAGTGTTCTACCACTTTGAGCCATAGCACCACTTTTGGTTTTCTGGTGGTTAATTGGCAATAAGAGTCTCACAGACTTTCCTGCCCAGGCTGGCCTTGAACCATAATCCTCAAATCTTAGCTTCCTGAGTAGCTAGAATTACAAGCTTTAGCCGTAGGCACCTGGCTTGCTAAGTGTTATTAACTCTCCAGCTGCCACCTCAGGGGCCCTGTGTGTGGCTCCTCTCCCTGGTGCTCCTTCCTCTCATTCCTCCTGCCAGTTGTCTCTCCATCTGTCTGACTCAGACTTTACTAGAAGCAGCCTTTCGGAGGCCAGCTTGAGGTATAACCCCAAACTTTTTTCTCCCCACTAACACAGCCAAATTTAACCAAGCCCCAGAACCTGGGTCAGTGGCTGAAGTCTTACTGGGATGCAGTTGGATATAAGTGTCTCTTTCCAATTCTGGGTCTCAGTTTCTCAATTATTAGAACAATAATCTTGAGGTTATTATATTGTATATAATATATAGTATTATATATAATATTATAACAATGACCTTGAGATTCTTCTAGGTCCAATTTCCTGACCTTCCTCTGTTATTTTATTTTATTTTTGTAGTACTGGCGATTAAGCTTAGGCCACTGTACATGTAGTATTGTAACTTTTGAGCCAGCCCCCCTCCCCTTTTTTTTGTTTGCATTGTTTGTGAGATAGGGTCTTGCTAACTTTTGCTGGCCTTGAACTTAGTCCTCCTTCAAACACCTCTTGAATAACTTGGATTATAGGGCAGTACTACCATACCAGCTGTCCTTAGAATTTTAAATAATTTCCTACACTTCCACCAAGCCCCATACCTACCCAATGCCACCCATCCACCCCTTTTGCCTCCAGGTGACTCTTTTAAAGCAAGGTAAGGAGAGAGGCAAGGGATAGAGAGGAGAAGATGTAGAGATTAGAGGAGGCAAAAACACAGAGAAGGAACATAAGCACGAGAGAATAAAGATATAGAGAGGAAAGGTAGCCAGAACTCCAGGCACTCAGGAGCCAGCATCATCGACTGCTTCTGAACATGATGGGAAAGCCTGGGTTTGCAGACCCCTCCCCACCCCTTGGTAAGGTGCTTTGAAGCCCAGGCAAGGCTGGGGCCATGCTGTGTCCATATCTCCCCTTCCCTCCTGAGCCAGGATGCAACCTTTGGTCTCTAGGAGTTGAGGGCAAAGATCTGGATGGGATACTGGGTGGATCCAACATTTCCCAGAAGCCATGAGGATGCAAAATACAGTTCAGTAGGAAAGAAGCAGAGGCCCGTGTCTCTATGATCAGTCATTTTCCCCCATCCAGAACCCTTGGCCCAGAGGAGTCTCTGCTGGAAACCAGAGGCTGGCTTGAATCCCTGAGGGCTGGGCTGGGCTGGGCCAGGCGAGGCTGGGGCAGAGGCAGAATGCTGCCTATGGGTGGTTCTCTAGGGAGAGGGGAATTGAAAAGAAAAGGCATCTCCAAGGAGGGCCAGAGGGAGGGAGGCTGCTCTCTCTCTCTTTCCTTCTCTCTTACACACACACACACACACACACACACATACACCAGCCTCTCTGTCTCAGCCTTCCTCTGGAAAGGAGCGTTCTCTCTGCTCTCTGGGCTTTCTGTTGCTTCCCCGCCCATCTGTGCCGTCAGCAGCACCGGCAAAGTTGGCCTCAAACTTGAACACAGCTGAAAGCTCCGGCATCCGCCAGGGAGGCAGCAGACTCTGGCCTCCCGGCTCAGCTGGCCTTGAGAAGCCCCTCCAAGCCTTCCGGGTGGCGTACCTCACTGGCCTCTTGGTTCCCTGGGGTGACATCTCTGCTCCTGCCCTGGAGACAGCCCTCTCCCCATCTCAGTGTGGGTGGAGGCATGGTATGCTGAGGTCTCTCTGAAGCCCCTGTGCAAGCTTTGAGCCTAAGACCTGGTCCAACATGGCCAATCCAGTGCAGCCTCAGTTTACCCGGTCGCAGGAGCTGGGCTCCACCTCACCATTGGACCTGCCTGAGATGGAGAAGCTTCTCACCAAGGTGGAGGACAAGGGGGACACAGCCCTGAATCTGTCCAAGTCTCTGTCAGGGGCTCTGGATCTGGAGCAGAATGGGCACAGCCTGCCTTTCAAGGTGATCTCTGAGGTGCACCGGGAGACCTCCCACCCCGGCTCCCCTTCCCGTGTTAGCTCACGGCGAGCATCCTCCATCGTCACCACCTCCTATGCCCAGGACCAAGAGGCCCCTAAAGATTACCTAATCCTTGCCATCGCTTCTTGCTTCTGCCCCGTCTGGCCCCTCAACCTCATCCCTCTCATCTTTTCTATAATGGTAAGTACTCTTTGTTAGGGGACAGGATCTGGGTTCAAGGAATGGGCAGGCCTGTCTCCAAGCAGACACTCAACAAGCTTGCAGGGTATTGAACAAAGACAGCTGGGTGCTGGGGGCTTGGTGGCAGACCCTTCCTCATCTCTCTTCAAGAGATGTTTAGGGAGGGAAAACTTCTGTGTCCCTTTCTTCTCTGTCCTGGGCATCATAGTCTGACTTTTCCCCATCCCTGCTGGGGAGAGGGCCTTGGAGAACTGCCTGCAACTATGGACATTAGGGCAGAAATACAGCCAGGTTTGCAGGGGGTGCTTGTCTACTTGGATGGCAGTATGGGGGGCCATCCTCAGTAGAGCTTTTCCTCATAAGAACTCTAGGTCCACAAAGATTGAGCCCAAAGAAGGTCCCAGGGACCGTAGACACACAAGAGGTCCCCTGGGCCACTTGGGCATTCTACCAGCCTCTGCCAGCTTGTTTCTAAGAGCGAGCAGCAGCTGCCCTACCATTTGATCAAAGGCCTGGGTGGCTGGCTCACTTTCGGGACATATGGGAGGGGAGGGCGTTGGCTCTGCTGAGTTCCCCCAAAGCCCCTCTGGACTTCGTGCTTACCCACACTTCGTCATCCGTCTTTAGAGCAGGGAAGTCTAGACCTGAGTGGAAGTTTGGGGAATCAGAGGGCGTGAGGGGGGAATCTTTACTTTCAAAGGGCTCCCCATTCATCAGATTGTCCCCAAGCCAAGCCATTTTAGGGAGAGCTACTTACAGGGGAAAAAAACAAATCCCACAAAAGTGCCAGTAGATGTAGGCCAGTGTCACTGGTGGTCTAAGAAGGTTGGGGGAGAGGCTGGGCGTGGCGATGAATATCATAATGAGGAGATGCTGCAGCTCCCAGGCTGGTCAGGGCCCCAGGAATCGATGGCCTGACCCTGTGTGCCACATCCTCTGTCACCAAACCCCTGGTGGGGCTGTGGTCCCTCTGCTGGTATTTCTTCCCATATCTCTGGCTCCATCATGGAAGTCCAGTCTCCATCCAGGGAGAGACTCCTCCAGCCCCTGTCAGATCGGTTCTGGCTGCTAGGACATCTCTGTTTTTGAATACAGGGATTTGGCTTAAGAGGCAGGAACCTTCTGGCTTCCTGTGCTCCTGCCACATTTGGGAGCAGCTAGGGGACAGAGCCAGGTCCCCCAGGTGCAGCCACCGGCTCTGGGCAGGGAGAAGCTCTTGGTGACAGGGAAAGGTCCCTAGTGAGAGGACAGGCTCTGGGGAGGGAAATCACACAAGGGCTCAGGAGAAAACATATTCGAGAATTTGTCACCAGTGAGGGTGGGGGTGGGGCAGGTCCATGGCTTGGGCTGGGTGGGAGCTGGCCTTATTAAAGGGACCGGGTACCCAAGACTGAGACCCTGGAACCCAGTACAATACCAGACACCACAGTCAAGTCCCAGGAGCCTGTGGGCCAGGCAGAGAACCATGTAAACAGATCCTTACAACATATTGCAAGAAGTGCCCATCTAGACAGAAGCACAAGGGAGCCGTGGCATCCTGGGAAAGTCACTCCTCTCAGTTTACCCATCTGCAAAATGGGCATTAGCATGACACCTGCATTAGATAGCAATGAGGGTGAAATGAGATGAACTCCTAAAGTACTTAAGAACAACACTAGGCATTAAGTGCTGGGGTCATAATGGCTAAGTGCAGCTGGGATGTCCCTTTTGGGGGATGGGAAGCCACTGTGGAATTACTTTGTTTGGTTTTAGAGGTAGGAGCTCACTTAGCCCAGGTGATCCTCTTGTTTCAGCCTCCTAAGTGCTAGGATTACAGTTCTTTTTCCTTTTCTTGATTTTAATGTTTTGAGACCATGGAGGGAGAAGCTATATAAGCTCTAGGCTACCCTCCAGCTTGTGATCCTCCTGCCTCAACCTCAGAGTGCAGGGATTACAGGCATGCACCACCACACCTGACTAATAGTGGAGTTTTAAAAATAGCTTTATTGGGCTGAGAATGTGGCTCAAGTGGTAGAGTGCTGGCCTTGAGCAAAAGAAGCTCAGGGACAGTGCCCAGGCCCTGAGTTCAAGCCCCAGGACTGGCCAAAACAAACAAACCAAAACAGCTTTATTGAAATATAATTCACATTTTATACAACTGATCCATCTGGAGAGTAAGATTCAAATGGGTTTAAAAATTATTTTAATCTTATACATAAAAACATAAGGATTATATATTCTAGTGAGTGTTATATAATGTTTCAATATATGTGCATATTATGTTTAAATCAGTTAAACAGATATTTCTCCAAACATTTACAACTGCTTTGGTGTGTGTGTGTGTGTGTGTGTGTGTGTGTGCATGCGTGTATGTGCATGTATGTGCAGATACCAGGGCTTGAACTCAGGGCCTGGGCACTCATTGTTCCTTGGCTTTTTTGTTAAAGACTAGTGCTCTACTAGTTGAGCCACAGCTCCATTTCTGGCTTTTTGGCGATTAAGTGGTGGTAAGAGTTCCCAGTTAGCTTTGAACCAGGATCCTCAGATCTCAGCCTTCTGAGTAACAAGGATTTTTTTTTGTCAGTTGTGGGGCTTGAACTCTGGGCCTGGGCGCTGTCCCTGAGCTATTCAGCTCAAGATGAGCTTTACCACTTGAGTCACAGTGCCACTTCCAGTTTTCTGATGGTTAACTGGAGATAAGGGTCTCATGGACTTTTTTGCCGGGCTGGCTTTGAACCACAATCCTCAGATCTCAGCCTCCTGAGTAGCTAAGATTATAGGTGTGAGCCACCAGCACACGGCTTCTGAGTAGCTAGGATTATAGGCATGGGCCACAGGTGCCTGGTTTCATTTCCTACTTTTTTATGGTAGAAAATTTAAAAATCTTTTCTTCTAGCTTTCTGTAAGGTACAGTATCTTTTTGTTACCTGCGTCTGTCTTACTTTGTCCCTCTCTGTGACTACACCCACTGATCAACTGCTCCCCTTCCCTCCCTCCTCCTATGTTCCTTGGTCTCTTGAGACCCACTTTCTAGTCTCATCTTCTATGAGATCATTTTGTTTAGACTTCACACATGAATAACATCATGAGGGGACTTGTCTCTCAGTGCTTGTTTATTTCATTTCACATAATGGTCTCCAGTTTCAGCTGGGTGCTGGTGGCTCATGCCAATAATCCTAGCTACTCAGGAGGCTGAGATCCGAGGATCATAGTTCAAAGCCAGCCCCGGCTGAAGCATCCATGAGACCCTTATCTCCAATTATCCACCAGAAAACCGGAAGTGGTGCTGTGGCTCAAGTGGTAGAGCATTTGCCTTGAGTTGAAGAGATCAGGGACAGTGACCAGGCCCAGAGTTCAAGCCCCATGACCAACATACACACACACACACACACACACACACACACACACACATCTTCTCCAGTTCCATTCATGTTGCATATGACAACAGTATTTGTGAATACTGGGTTTTGAACTCAGCAACCCACAATTGCTAGGCAGATGCTCTACTACTCAAGCCACACTTCCAGCCTTCTTTTATGTTTTAGTTTTTTTTGGTTTTTTTTTTTTTTGGTGGTTGTGGGGCCTGAACTCTGGGCCTGGGCGCTGTCCCTCAGCTCTTCAGCTCAAGGCTAGTGCTCTACCACTGGAGCCACAGCACTACTTCTGGCTTTTTTTTTTTTTTTGCTTATGTGGTGCTGAGGAATTGAACCCAGGGCAAGCACTCTACCACTGAGCCTTCCCAGTCCCGTTTAGTTACTTTTGAATAGGGTCTTATGTTTATGTTTGGGCCAACCTGAATTGTGATTTTTCTACTTATACTTCCCCCACCTGTAGCTAGAATGACAGATATGTGCTACCATACCCAGCTATTGATAGAGATGAGAACCTTACTAACTTTTTGCCTGGGCTGGCCTCCAACCAAGATCCTCCAGATCTCAGCCTTCTGAGTAGCTAGGATTATAGGCCTGAGCTACCATATCCAAAAGGATTTCTTTCTTTCTTTCTCTCTTTCTTCTTCCTTTCTTTCCTTGTATCTTCCTTTCTTCCTTTCTTTCTTGTTTTGTGGCAGAATGGTAATTCAGTGTACTCACAGACAGTTACAATTTAACCACAATTCATTTGAACATCTTCCTCCCTTTCAAACGGAACTCTGTGCACTACTCTACATCTCTAATCTCTCACAGTCCTTGGTAAATACAAATCTTTCTGGTTCTCTAGACTTACCTATTTGGAATACTGTATAAACGGACTCACATAACTTATGGCCCTGGGGCTAGGAAGGTGGCTCAGTGGTAGAGCGCTTGCCTTGCATGCCTGAGGCCCTGGGTTCGATTCCCCGGCACCACATAAACAAAAAAAAAAAAAAAGAAAGAAAAAAGCCGGAAGTGGCACTCTGGCTTAAGTGGTAGAGCACTAGCCTTGAGCTGAAGAGCTGAGGGACAGCGCCCAGGCCTAGAGTTCAGGCCCCACGACTGGACTCACCCCCCAAAAATAACTTATGGCCCTTTGTGACTGTCTGCTTTCCCTTATATAGCATTTTAAAGCTTTATCCTTGTGGTAGCATGCCCATGATAGGTTTAGGGGCTGAAGACTGTGGTCAGATTTCCACTTGTGGTTAGTGAGCGAAGAGGCTGAATGGGGTTGAGCCTGGCATTTGGAATCGAGGGCAGGCCAGGATATGGGGAGGGGTGGCAATGACACTCTCTCATGGTGGTTACACTGCTGGCTCATTCATTTGGTCCACTCAAATGGCAAGTTGCTTGTTTTGAGAAAACTAAGTAGAGATAGTTATGTCCCCAACAAATACTGTGCCTCCTTTTGGGAGCAGGCACTGTGGTAGGCCCTTGGGCAGTAGATGGCTGAGATAAAGAAAGGGCTGGCTGGTGTGTCATGGAGGAGGAAGGGAGTAAGAATGCAATGGGGCTTGGCAGCTGGCGGGGACTCACTCTGAGAATAAGGGATTGACTAGTATGTGTGTGTGTGTGTGTGTGTGTGTGTGTGAGAGAGAGAGAGAGAGAGAC